AAACAGGTTGAGGGGCTGGAGAGATGGCTCAGCTGTTAAGAACACTGGTCTTGCAAAAGACCTGGGTTTGAATCCCAGCACTCATATGGAAGCTAACAACTGTCCATAACTCCAGTTCCAGGGAATCCGACAGCCTCTTCTGTCCTCTGCAGGCATTGCACGACATGGGTGCATTTACCTACATGTAAGCATAACACTCATACACATAAAATAAAAATCATAAAAAAATAAAAACAACAAAAAACCATAAAAACAGATCTGATGTCTCTGGCCTTTAATGGGACCTGCATTCATGTACACATACCCACAAACAGACACACACCAAATTAAAAAGAAAGTAAGAGCTGGAGAGATGGCTCAGTGGTTAAAAGCACTGGCTGCTCTTGCAGAGGACCCAGGTTTGGTTCCCAGCACCCACATGGTAGTGCACAACTATAGCTCCAGTTCCAGGGGATCCGATGCCCTCTTCTGGCCTCCACAGACATTGCACTACACATGCAATTCCATACATGCAGGCAAAATATGCATAAATATAAAAATAACTAAATTTAAAAAATAATTCAAAACAAGAAAATCTTAAAGTTCTTTGCTTTTCTTGGCAAAAATAAAGATCAAAGAGCTGAAGAGATGGCTTCAAAGGTAAGAGCAGGGCTGCTCTTGCAAAGGACCCAGGTTTGGTTCCTGGTACTTAACACAGTGACTCACAACTGGCTCTTATCCAGTTCTAGGGGATCCAGTGTAATCTTTTGGCCTCCATAGGAACTACATGCATGGTACACTTACATGCAGGTAAAACACACATAAAAATAGATCTTTAAAAAAAGATAGATCAATAAATAGATAAATAGATCAGGGCATGGGTATTTTAGCACATGCCTTTAATCCCAGCATTTGGGAAGCAGAGCCAAGTAGATTACTGTGAGTTCAAGGCCAGCCTGATCTACATAGCAAATTCCTGGCCAGCAGGCTCCACAGGAGACCTGTCTCAAAAATGTGTGTGTGTGTGTCTGTGTGTATCAGAATTCTTCATAATAACAAAGACAGAGTCTGCATTTTTTTAGCTAAAATGTCATGTCTGGTATGTGTGTTCACTGAAGTTTGTCTAGCAAGATGGAATGGCCAGCTCAGGGTTTTGTGTTCCCAGGGTCTGAAAACAACTATGTCAGTAGTCTGGAATCCTTCAAGAATTTGAATTAGCAGGGCATGGTGGCTCATGCCTTTAATCCCAGCACTCAGGAGGCAGAGGCAGGCAAATCTTTGTGAGATCAAGGCCAGTCTGGGTTACATAGAGAGTTCCAGGCCAGTTGGGGCTACAGGGAGACCCTGTCAAAAAAAAAAGGAGTTTGAATTAAATATATGTGCAAGTCTCAGAAGATTGCTATGATAAGTTCTAGCCACAACTGAGTTGAAGACTGAGTCTCTGATGCTTGCTTTCCATGAGAACTGGAGCCAGATAGCTGGAAGGAAAAAGAGAAGGGCAGATGGGGAACCAAGGTCGATGCCGCCGCCTCCACCCTAAGCTTGGAGCACGTGATCACCACGACTAGAGCTTCCTAGGCTCAGTGGTACAGCACCTGCCTAGAATCCCCCAGTGAGGAGCTGGGGGTGTGGTTTGGTGGTAGAGCACCTGCCTAGAATCCCCCAGTGAGGGGCTGGGATGTGGCTTAGTGGTAGAGCACGTGCCTAGAATCCCCCAGTGAGGGGCTGGGGGCATGGCTCAGTGGTAGAGCCCCTGCCTAGAATCCCCTAGTGAGGGGATATGGGTGTGGCTCAGTGGTACAGCACCTGCCTGGAATCCCAGTGTGAGGGGCTAGCAGTAGAGGGCTTGTGTAGCATGGGTGAGATCCTAGCTTCCATCCCTAGTTCAAGAAACCATACAGCTTTAGAGGTAACCCAGACTAGAGATCAAAGGTTTAATTTTGGAAGCCTAAAGGCAGTGGTTGCGTATCATAAATCTGACAAGCAGAGTGGCTTTCTATTCACCGTGACTAGGAAGAACAGTGGGGTGTCTGTCCTTTGTGTTGGTGGTGACTTCCAGCCACTGAACTGTCCCTCCATTGTTGTCCCTGGATGATAAATTCAGCCTCTCAGTTCGGTTCAGAATCAGGCCTTTTCTAGACACAGGCAGTCAGGGCCAGTGACTTGCTTCCTCCTGGGTAATTTTCTTTGCCTTTGTTGTTTCCTTTTTCCAATCAGAGCTGGGCACCAAGAAGCCTATCATCATATTCTAATCTCCATAAAAGTTTTTCTTTTCTAGTTTTATAAATTTTACAGAACATCAATTAGGAAAGAGGTAAAATAAGTAACAAAATACATGCAGCTGAGCACTGCTTCCTGTGAAAGAAACAACTTTGTCCTGTCCTCAGGAGGAAGGCTGGCCTTAGGCAGACCCAGTGCTGATCTGGCAGCGCAACCAAGGTAGGGTGCCTGATAGACACCTCTGTTTTAGATTTGGCCTAGTGATTACAGGGTGATGGTTGTTGCTCTGTCGTTAGTAGCTTCCGAAGCAGGAAATGGAGGCGGAGGGATGGGAGAAGCTCAGTGATCCTCTCCCTCCTCTGCCGCTTCCCTCTCCTGACTTCTTCATTCTTCCCCAGTCTTCTTCCCTCCCTCCCTGTGATTGTTTCATTTTACGTGTATGAGTATTTTACTTGTATGTATGTAAGTGCACCATGTGCATACAGTGCCTGTGGAGGCCAGAAGAGGGCATTGACTCCTGTGGAACTGGAGTTACAGAGAGTTATGAGCTGCCAGGTGGCTGCTGGGAGCTGAACCCAGGTCCTCTGGAGGATCAGGAAGTACCGTTAACCACTGAACCATCCCTCCAGCCCCCTCCTTGTGATTTTTTTTTTTTTTTTTGAGATAAGGTCTTATGTAGCCCAGGTTGGTCCTCCCCAAACTTACTGTGTCATTCAGTCTGGCCTTAAAGTCATGATCTCCTGGCTCCTCTCCCCAACCCTTTAGCTGGCTTTGAATTAGCAGTGTAATTGAGGATGACCTTGCACTTCTAATCCTCCTGCCTCCACCTCCTAAGTGCTTGTATTAAGAGTGTTCGTTACTACATCCAGTTTTATGTAGTGCTGAGGACTGAATTCCAGGTTGCCAATGTGCTAGGCAAACACTTCACCAACTGAGCTGTGTACCCAGATTCTCCCTTTTTTTAAAAAAAAAAATTTATTATTTTTATTTTATATGTATACATGTATTGCCTGCATGTAGGTGAGTGCACCCGTGTCATGCAATGCCCACAGAGGAGGGAAGAGGCTGTCAGATCCCCTAGAACTGGAGTTACGGACAGTTGTTAGCTGCCATGTGGGTGCTGGGATTCAAACCTAGGTCTTCTGCAAGAACAGTGTTCTTAACCGCTGAGCCATCCCTCTAGCCCCAGCTTCTCCCTGTTTTGAGACAGCATCTCACTATGTAGCCCAACCTGGTTTTGAACTTGTGATCTTCTTGCCTTGGCTTCCTGAGTACTGGCTGATAGGCCTGCACACCACCATGCCTGCCTGGCTCTCATCTCTCCTCAATAATGAAGGAAGAGATTCCCAGAAACCCTGAGCAGCTGGCATGCTCTGATTGGCCAGGACTGTGTCATGGTCCAGCCACTGGCAGAAAGGTGTGGCTCACGTGGACCGATTGTGATTTGTCCCTTTGTATTGGATACCCGGCTCTCCACTGTTCAAAACTTCTTGGTCTTCTCTGTGAGATTGAGTCCAGCCTAGTCTATATAGTGAGTTCCAGTCCAGCTGGGGTTACAGAGAAACCCTGTCTCAACCCCCGTGCCCCCCCAAACAAAACCACTTGATCTGTTTTGGTTGTCATAGGTTCTTTCATCTACTGTCAACGTCTACATTTATTTCTTTAAACTCTTAAGCGTACTTACTGTATGTTTTATGGTTTGCATATGTGCAGCCTTCCTGGGTCAGTCTGTAGGTTGTGGTTTTTCTAACCCTGCCATGTCAACTGTATCCTCATAGGTGTGTGTATTTATTTATTCATTCATTTCTTTGTATTTAATTTTATTAGGTCTTTGGAGACAGACTCACTCTGTAGTCCAGGCTGGAACTCCTGGCAATCCTGCCTCAGCCTCCTGAGTGCTAGGATTATGCCATGAGCTACCATACCTGGCTTGTTGTTTTCAAATTAATTATTTTATG